AAACCACCTTTTCCATTAAACACTTACAGAAAACATGTTTTTGCTCTTTGCTCTCTTTTGTTAGTGACTTTGCTGTACACCTGGCAAAACATCCTAACTCCCAACACACACAGATACTTTCTATCTCGTTTAGATGCAGAACTCTCTAAGCACTCCCTGTGTCAAAGGGCAGAGTACTTTGCAGACTTTTTTTTTTTTGGTGAGGCAATCCTTGGTTGACCTCACAGATTGCAAGGACCTTATCAGTTTACAATCCCTTATTTTTATTTTTATTTTTTTACGCCTACAGCACCTTTACGGACTTTTTAATGGAGAATAAAAGACCCACCTGAAATTTCCTGTGGTCACTGCCCCTTACCCCTTCCCAGCTGAAAGTCATAAAGAAGAAACTGAGACATTAGGAGTTCTCAACCTTGGCTGTCCATTGCAATCACCTGTGGACCTTTAAAAATTACTAATGCCCAGCAACCACCCTGGAAATTCAGCTTTAATTGGTCTAGGGAGTGGCCTGGGCAGTGGTACTTTAAAACTCTCCAGGTGATCCTCATATGCAACAAGGTTTTAAAGCCGCTCCCTTAAAGATCATCTAATTTCAGACCTTCATTCTGTAAATGAGTGGTGAGATAGTTAACAGCCCTACTGACAGGAATCCATGGTTCTTAAAAAAAAGTTCGAGTCTCTTATGATGCCTTTATGTTGATGGTATTCTATCGGAAAAACGAAGAAACAAGGGAAGAGAGATTCCACACCAGCCACATCAGAATGTTTTAAATCAGTAGGACACTAAGGGACCCCTAACTTCACCGAGATTTCCCATGATGTAGTCTTGGCCTGAACTTTCTTCCCAGGGTGCAAGTGATGAGGGGCTGAGAATGTGAGGATTCCTACTCAAGAGGCCAAACTTTTTTCAGTCATCCCTGTGCACTTCACTTGCTCTTCAAGCAGTTTTTCCCTTCAGGGACTGGAATGCTCTCCAGGTGAGAAGTGGAGTCTCTGAGTCCTCCACCAGTTCGACCTTTTGGCAACCAGTCAGATGAGGCCTTTCTTGGATTTATTTTGAGTGGCAGTTATATCTCAGGTAGTTTCTGCTAAGTAATTATCAGCCTAAGTCTTATATAATCCTATGCTGAGTCAAAGGAAATTAATCAAAATGCTCAGCAATTTTAGAGTCTGCATGGAAAGTCTGTATGCAGACTAAGCCAATTTGTGGGGTTAATTCAAAAGTACTTTTGGTCTGTACTTGTTAGGAAACTGCCCAGAATTGCATGTGATTATTTTAGCAGACAATTACCACATGCTTGTGGTTTCTGAGTTCTAAATATAAGAACAGCTTTTAAAATCAGAATAATCTGCAATTTTGAGGGAACATGCATTTACAGGCTCAACACTGAATATATCCAGAACTTTCACTTTACCTGCCGGATTTCCCAATTTACATTCCACTGTTTCATATTTGTGAATCTCCATGTTGTAATTGGAATTCCAGTGGCGGCATCGATTCTAATCAACCTATTATAGGAAACTCCCAGAATGTCATCTTTCTTGCTTCCTTTAAATCTGAAAAACAATTTAATTAATAGAAGCAACTGCTTCCTATAATATGACGTTTATTCATATTCATAACTTCTTAAAGATAATACCAACCTTTCTAAATCATTTCCAAAGAATGGACAATGAGGGATTGACTTTCTACAGAAGGACATTTCTGCTGTGACATAGAGAATGGAGAGGGTTAAGGCTGTCCTGCGGACATTCTTTAAGTGAAACTGACATCAGAAGAAATCAAAATAAGAGGAAGTCAAGTTAATTAATTCAAAGTCAGCACCAACTGTGTATGTCAGGCACTGAGAATATAGTAGTGACCTAAAAGGATAGAAAATTCCTGACTTCATGGAGCTCACTTTCTATTGTGGGGGAAAGGAGGTCACCGATTTCAGAAAATCAATGTGATTTCTCTCTCTGGTTTTGCAAATACTGTTATCTTAAAAAACTAAATTTCCTTTTAAAATTTCTTTTCCCACCCTGAGCTAAGATTCAAGGGTGTTGGCACTTGAACAAAAGGTACGGAAGATCTTTATGAGCAGCCAAAAGTTCTGGGCCATTTGTGAAAGGACAGCATTCTAAAATAAAAAAAAAAAGTTCTATGTTCTCGACTAGGAAAGAATTAACTGGGCTCCAAAAAAGCTACTTAAAATGGAATGGAAAGTGAGAGAGGCAAGTGAACATTGCAATCACCTGACAAGGTAATAGGTGAGACCGAATTCAGGTAGAGACTGCCATGCCTGAATGAACCGCAGCTTGGCTTCGACCAGGGACATCTGGGACACATTCTGGTGGGCTTCCAGAATCCGGGCTGCCAGCTAAACAGAAACAGGAGACATCAAACTCTCCTTAGCAATCGTCCCCCAGTTAGCTCCAGATCCCCGATGAGAAAAGTAAATGCAGATCCAACTGCAGCTTTACGAAGACAATTCATTCTTGTTTGCATTGTCTCCCTCTCCTTTTCTCAGACATGCAAATCACTGGTGAGAAGCAAAAACAAGATCAGTCCACACAAGAGCGGCTAGGGTTCATGCAAATGAAGAGTTGTGGGTCCCTTTTTCAGGAGTCTGGGGAGTGTCCATGGACAATGTGTCTGCTTAAGTCAGTTCATCTGTTTAACTTTTTTAAACCATGCTTATGGAAGCATAATTTAAAATTTTAATTTGTAGGGACTAAATCATTTTATTTTTAATTAAATTATGTAAGGGCGCAATGCCATGTTCAGTGAGCAGTACAGTCACCTCTAACGTAATTAACAATTTCTTAATATCATCTAATACCCAGTCCATATTCAAATTTCTCCATCAAGTGATTTTTCACCATGACTGCCTTAATCATTTTAATGCCTCATTTTACTTCAGAAAATACAGGATTCACTGCGAACAATCACTCCAACAAGAACAGTAGTACCTGTTTAGATTTGTGTTTTTTTGCACACCGAGGTGACACAAAACATTCTGGGTTGATGTCCATGTTTTCAAGACTGGAAGTCACTGGAGATGTTGAGTTCCGGTTTTTCATCCTCAGAAATGAGAGGATGTTGAGGACCTCTGGCTGGTAGGAGCTGTCTGCCATGGTTTTGCCCTTTGATGCCAAGATGCAGGCAGCCATCCATTGGGCATACTGATTCTCCTGCAGCAAACACCAGAGGGCTAAGAAGCAAGTTCAAGTGCAAAGCCATCCTGCTGAGAACAACAGGACCTGGGCTTTCATCTCTATAATACAACACCACTGCCTTCCAAGCATGGAAAGATGGAAAGTGGCACATGTTCTGAGTGGCTATTAATCACTTAATTTAACACCCAACAAAAGCTTTTGAGTCCTATGTTGAGTTTCTAGATGATAAAGGGCTAGGGAATAGGAATGTGAGCTTTAATAAATTCCATGAATTTAAAGATGAACCAAGGACATGTGCCAGGGAGCAAAGACAGGTAAAAACCCAAACAACCAAAGAGCCTTCCTTGATATATATTTCCATTTTTATATCATGTCTGATCTCTATGACAGAAACAAATGATAAAAATCGTAAATTGATTTCCCATATTATTTCTACCCTGGCTTATCTTCTGTAAAGATTCTAATGTCTCTGTAGGAATCAAGTCCACCGATGGGTCTTGAACCACTTACTGGTGGCTTCTATTGTTCTTTAATGTTTGTGCTGATTTTTTACCTCAGCTACCAAAGAGGAGTGGTCCCAGAATCTGAGGGGATGCAACTGAGAAGTAGAATTCTTCAGAGCAACAGTAGGTGTGGTACCTGGAATTACTGGCTTCAATCTCCACCCTCCTGGTATGCAAACCTACTGCCATGTAATTTTATAGTCCCTTCCACCAAGCCAGAGTAGAATTTTCACTCCTGACTTTGGGCCCAGCTAAACTTGCTTTGGCCAATGGAATGTCGGTGGAAGTGGCAGTGCACCAACTACAAGCGTAAGAGTCAAGAGGTCTCACACATTTTCAGTTGCCTTCTTACACTTCTGCCATCACTATGAGTGCAAACCTACTGCCATGTAATTTTATAGTCCCTTCCACCAAGCCAGAGTAGAATTTTCACTCCTGACTTTGGGCCCAGCTAAACTTGCTTTGGCCAATGGAATGTCGGTGGAAGTGGCAGTGCACCAACTACAAGCGTAAGAGTCAAGAGGTCTCGCACATTTTCAGTTGCCCTCTTACACTTCTGCCATCACTAACTATGACAATAGTCTCCCAGGAAACCTGGGACCCAGAATAAATACAGTGAGTTCAACCTGCAGCAAGGAGCCAAGCCTCGGCAGATCAGATTGAAGCAGATGTGCTCAGCTGACACCAGCCTGGATCATCCAACTCCCTGCCTACATGCAGATGTTTCAGAAACAAATGCTTATTGATATATGTCATTGTAATTTGTGTGGCTGTTTGTTACAAAGCAAGAGCTGACTGATACAACAGTGCTCTGATTTGGGAAAACATCTCAGATGGTTTGTCCTTAGGCTTACTAAAGGTGAAGTGAATGAACATTTTTGTCGTTTTACTTACATGGTCGCATCTCAAATACACTTCATTCATACCATCAGCAACAGGGATTAATAACTTGATTCCAAATTTTCTTCCTGCTACATTCACATCTGGCACAACTTCACAGCCTAAATAATAAAAGGCAGGGACACAACTGAGTTCTGAAAAATCCGTTACATAAATATCAGGTGTGTATCTAAAATAAAGACTTTGAACATAAGCCCCTCAGATTTGGTTCTGTTCTGAAAAATGCAGTAGCAAGCTGATAACATTAATTACAGGACAACTAATTAAGACTTATGAACAATTAACATGGATAGAGAAAAATATTTTATGATTTTCTTAAATATATCAATTGAATTCATTTTTAAGGTTGATCTGGCTATCCTAACCCATAGGAATGATTATGAATATGAACTAAAATAAATCAAAGCACAGGAAATTCTCTAATTGCCACAATGATAAGGAAATTGAGTATACTGGTTAACAAAATGTTTCAATTAATATGCTTACCAGTAAACTCACAGTCACAGAAATTAGAACAGGCACTAAAGCAATACTGAATTAAACATAATTGTTCTGGAATTCAGAAAGCTTTTCAGGATTTTACAGTGCCTCCTGTACAACACTTATGACACCAATTAGACTTGGGCACACAGGGAAAGAAGAGACAGCAGGATGGAAACAAACACATTTACTGAACCACATTCTAGTTCCAAGCTCCATGGGGAAGAAGAGCTGCAGGCAGGCTGTCATTTCAAACACAGTGATACACTGGAATTCGACCTTGCTTCAGTGGGTAGGAATCCTGGCTTTCATCTGCTTACTGGGTCATGACAAGCCACAGCAAGATATAGAACCCTCTTACCTCTAAGATTTAGTTTTTCTACTGGTTCTCCTTGTTCAAGTTCCTTATTTTTAAAGTAGGCTATAGATGTGTCTTTAAAGACAAACCAGTATTGTTTGAAAGCTTTTAATATTAGCTTCTTGGGCCTGCAAATTAAAGTACAGTAAGCATTTAAACAGCCATTCAGAAATCTAAGACACATTGCAAATTTTAAGTGGATCTAGATGCTCTTTCAAATAACACATGCTTTATTTTTAAAAACAACTTGCAAATCGCCGACTCATTTCCAAGAACTAGAAATGGAGTTTTGCTATGACATACAGAAGTTAATACAAAAGCTCAGGAGTTAGACCACTTGGGGCCACACTGTGGCTCTGCTACTGCCTAAATGTGTGACCCTGGGAAAGATACTTCAACTGCCCAGGCCACATGCACTCTCTCTGAGTGATGGGGAGAGTAACAGCCTCCAACTCACAGGGCTCTTGTGAGGATGGAAAGAGGTAATCTCTGTAAAGTGCTTATCACAATACCTGGCACAACGGAAGTGCTCGATAAATTATTATGATATATGTGAGAAACATCCACGAATCTGGTGACATCTGACATGTCCATACACTCTTTAGATCTGAAAAAGCTGTCCATGTGGACAGCATGACTTTCAAGTTATCAGACATAAAAATCAGATATAAAAGTGAGCAACTTTTTCTGTGGTTTCCTCTTGACTCTGAAGAGAAACCGCCAGAGAATTCCCAGTGAGCCATGGAAATCACCCAAATCTACAGCTAATCTATACAGACTCTACTGTTATTAAAAATATTTTGGGGTAAGATCTCCAACAGTGATATCTGTTGGGGCCAAAAAACGTTGTCCTTTGGGCTAAACAGGGTCGGTGGGGCCATTGGCAGGACTCAGTTGGGTCACTGAAAATAGAAAATGCGAGAGAGAGCTAGGGAGCAGGAAAGTGGGTACAGACGGGCAGAGAAAATATGAGTTGCATGAGGTGCAGTAGAACAATCCTGGCCCTGGGGGTGGATCAGTCTACTCATGCCACAGGAGTGGATTTCTGTATTAAAAAATGTAAGAGAGGGAGGTTGGTGTTAACATCACTCACATATAATTTGGGGCAAGTCTTTTAACACATCAGTACTAGTCATCCCTTAGCTAAATATGTGTTATCTTTAACACAAGAATAAGGGTGATGTTCATTAAAAAACCAATGTATTACAGGAACATATTACATAAAAATTATAAAATAAACATATATGAAGTTAACATTTCTAGGATTTAGAAAACTACTGCACAAAACTACCGCAATAATATTCATCACGTTGAGACTTGTAGTTAATATTATTCTAAAGAATATATTTAAAAGATTATTTGTCTAAGAATCAGATTATCCAAAATTAACAGTCTTTTCAAAATAAAATCTAAAGACTAAGCTTATAACCAAAGGTAGTAAGGTCTCAGTCGAGTCCTGGCATCTAAATATTTCTATTCAGAATAAAGAATGAAACCCTGCTTCTCCATTTTAACTGGATTTCGAAAGTATCAAAAGATCTCAAATTCCTTCTACTATCTTTTTCCAGTTTGGTTAAACCAGGCTGTTTCTATACATCTCCAAAGCTAACAGTTATTGATTCTATTCCACGTTCCAGAGGCTGAGGCGGGAGAGGATAGGGGAAGGAGGGGTAGAGAAAGATGGCTAGGTGGGGAATGATGTACATAACAATGAGACAATTTCCTGAATCCTCCTGGAGCTCACAGTTTAAAGAGGGAAATGCAGAAAATAAGTAAATACAATAAAATATGGCAAGTCACATAACAAGGGTGTGGGAAGTGTTGAATTACAGAGGACACAGCATTTAAACAAGAATGAAGGATGAATAAGAATTTGATTGGAGCAACAGGGAAAAAATTTTCAGAAGGTGGCAACTGCACATGCAAAATGCAGATACCTTGTTAATAAGAGTTGGGTAGATCATTTCTGGAACATGGGGCAAGCGGTAGTTTCTGTGGCTATAGCCTTTTTATGAGTGGAGGATGATGCAGATAAGAATGGCAAGGTAGGTTGGGGCCAGGGTGGTACTGAATATCCCGCTAAGGAGTTGGACTTTATTTTCTAGAAGAATGGTTCTCAAACTCTGGTGCTCATCAGAATTGGAAAGAAGCTTGTTAGAGATACCCAAGCATGGCCCCCATCCCAGAGACTGAGATTCAGCAGGCCCAGATTAGGGTTCAGGCATCTGCATTTTAAGTAAGCTTTCCTAAGGAGGTTCCCCAGTAATCTCCAAACTAAAACTGGGCACAGGCTATCTTTAAAATACCTATCCCTTAATATATTTACAATAGTTTACTTGTAATATTTGCATATTTGTAACATATATTAAATACATTATAGAACCTACACAAACATGTAAATTAAAAAAGAATGAATATGAAAGTTCAGTTTTTTAAAGAAGGGAGGTTTTTACTAATTTACATAGATCCCTGTTGAGGAAGTATACTATTGGCTGTGCTCACTAAATCACAACGTTCTTATTTTAGTGCCATCTACCTGTTTGTGACGATTTTCATTGACCCAAAGCTACTAATTTCCATCTTTCCTTAGGTCATTTCACTCATGCATATTAATCAGAATATGCTACATTTTTATATTTTTAATAAGTGTATTTAAAACACACTATGACTGTTAATTTGGATGGTCTTTTAGAAAAATTCTGTTTCCAAGTTTGAAAGCTGTGCGAATACTAGTGTTTTAATAGGCATTGTTATTATTGGCAAGACTTTGACAAAGAAAACATTTCCAAATAACTGTTTTCAAAATGCTCTCTTTAAGATTAAGTGTGTTTATTATCTTGAAAGTAGCTGGACGCTTACTACTCATGGCCACTTGTCTCGGAAAGGTCACAAATTTGGAACACTTATTTTTTGAAAAAAATGTATAACTCTATTTCAAGTACTTTTCTATTTGACAATCAGTGAGCCTTAATGTGGGACCAAAAATTTCTATAGTTACTCCCCATCTCTTTAAAAGCGTAAGAAAGATTTGACTATAGTTTAAGAGTTTTGTATCTATAAAATGAATTTTATTCCAAATCTCCTATAACGCATTGTGTACATCTGAATGGAACTTCTTTGCTACAGTAACTTCCCTGCTTGCCTACAGGAACTTGGCTAATGACATAACGAATGCACTTTATGTGTAACCTCTCTCTAAAATCCTGTTGTGGATCCATTTTATTTATTCCAGAGGATCTCTCCAACAGTGGTTATACCTTATGGTTTGGGCACAAATCATTTTTCTTAAATATATAATTTACTAGTAGAATTGTATCATGTCTGGTTTATACTTAGAGATTTGCAAAAAGTAGAATCTTGAAAAATTATTTGGGCATAAAATTCTGGATTGAATGTTATCTTCTCTTAGCACTTTCAAGATATCTCCCAGTCAGTGAGAAGTCTGCTGCCCACCTAATTGTTTCTTTTGCAGAAAATCTGATTTTTCCCTTTGATTTTAGAGACTCTCTCTTATCAGTGGTTGGCTAGTACCAACATGTATAATTATATTGATTTATTTTTGTTTGTGATTTGTGATTACTGAATTTCAGATTTTTGTCTTTAACAATTACATAAAATTCTCAAGCATTCTCTTTTAAATGCTTGCTTCTCCCCTATATTTTTTTTCTGAAACTCTCAATAGATGTATGTCGAACCTTCTTATTTTATTTATATCATACTTTCCATTTCTACCTGAGTTCTCTCTTCAATTGTGTTTTTAAACTTGATGTTTAATGAACCTATCCAATATTAAATTTCTATGGCTATGTTTTTCATTTCTAGAATTTCCATTTCGTTTCTTTTCAATGTTGTCTGTGCTCTTTCATTATAACTTTTACCTTTTATTACTTAATAATTCTAAATATAGTCATTTATAGTTTCTTCAGATTTTTCTATTACCTAAAATTATTGAAACTGTTAATCCTCTTGTTGGTTGGGTCTGCTGTTTTTCCTTTACGGTGGTTCATGAACTCAAATGGTTAGTAATTTTTATTGGAGGCTCTTTCTTTTTTATTAAGGGGGTTATTGTTTTATGTAGAAGGCCCAGGCATGCTAGATTATGGATATTTCCCTCCAAGGATTTTTGCAATTACATTTGCTAGGGCTTCATAGATTTTTTTTGGTCCTGGACCAGTTTCTATTTTACTTTTTCAGGATCCGTTTATTATATAAAACTTTAAATTTAGATCTACATCTGTGTGTGGTAGAAACCTCGCCTTTGATTTCCTGAGAGATTTTTCATCTTCCCACAGAGAACCCCATGCTAGGATGAACTTCCTTATTGCTTCCTTCGGCTGATGGGTAGTTTCTCTACTCCCTGTTAAACAGAGAAGGCAGTTCTTTTAAGTTTCTACCTTTAGGCAGGAGCTTCAGTGCTAGCTCACTGCCTTACATGAAGGACACCCACCTTAAAGCTTCATCTTTGATCCTTGCATGGGGATCAAAGTCCCAGTCCCAAGCCATGAGAATCTATGTTCATGGCCCAACTCCCTCTGTGCAGCTGAGGCTTCACTTGGAGAACTAGGTTCCCTCTTTATTTCCTGCAAGCTGGGATTTTCCAGTCTCACTTCAAGATCAATTTTGTATTTACAATTCTTTGATTTTTATTTTATCCAACACTCATATGTATTTATGAAAAAATCTGGATTTGGGTGAGATCAATTGCCACGTTGTTGGAAACTGAAGTCCACTATTTATATAATAAATTCAATAGATTTTTTTTTTTTCAGGAAAAAAAAAACTGTTAAAGGAAAAAAGCATTAAAAATCAAAGGATTAGTTCAATTCCATTTTACTGATAAGGAAAGGAGGCTCAGGAAATGAAGGCCATGTTCAAGGTCCCACGACCACTAGGAACAGAGCTCCATTCTCCAATATCCTTCCTCCTCCCTTCCCTTCTCTTTACTTCTTTGCTTCCTCCCTCCTACCCTTCCTCCATCCGTTCTTTCTTTCATGAACTATACTATGTATTAAATTCAATATCTTGAGACTTTCAGTAGGTAAAGTGTCCACTGGCCAAACATGAGAATGATTTTATAAATTTGAACATATCGATGACACTAAAGTGAGATGGATGTGGGTCTTAATTCCAGAATATCATCTCCTTCATTGAAAACATCTATAGGAAGGGAACTGTCATTATTTGGTTTGTGAAGAGCTGGATTTACTCTACACAGAGATTATGGCAACCTAGTTTCTTTGTAGGACAATTATCAATAATTTATATAGATGTATTTGTGGATTCGAATAACTATATTTTTTTTCTGTAGCTCTGGCTATAACAATATATGTGATTGCAAATATTTATGCCATAGATGTTAAATTAATGACCCTATTGTTTGAGATCACATCCTAAGATTACATTAAAAAACAAATCTGTAGAAACCCAGTGACAAATATTGTTACCTTTGGATTCCTGTTTCTCATTTATACCTGACTATTCATTCTTTCCAAATCTTTCTTTGTATCATGTATTATCAACAGCAACCTGTGTTTCTTTTGAAGCCAACCGACCTAGCGAAGTGTTGGTTTGTTAAGAAAAGTCAACAAACCATAAAGTGGCATGGTATAAGTAACTGATAGAACTTCAGAGGGACCTTATTCCTTTCATGCTAACACACCTTGGTACTATCACAAATGTGGCAGTTTTTTCAAATGAAATGGAAAACTTCTTTGCTTTTTTAACAGTTTTAGGTTGACCTGAGGTGACTAGGGAATTTATCAGAAATACTTAACAGGCAAAAGGTGAATAACTAAAGTTATCTCTCTATAAGCCCAAGATCCAAGTTCTAGTGACAATTGATTTTTAAACTGTGAAAGAGCCTTGAAACGGTGTCAGACTACTGAGCCTCCCAGATGGACTGTAACAGAAACTTCAGTCTGGCATATATGTTCATTCTTGCTGACACCGGCCATGTTTACAACCATTTATGGAGCGTGAATTATGAGCCAGGCACCATGCTCGATGCTTCATATGCATTATTTTATCTGATCTTCCCAACAAACCCAAGAGGAGGTATATCCCCACTTTACAGATCAGGAAACCGAGGCTCAGATGTGTAAGGACAATGCCTGACGGGGTTACTGTCTACCTAATGCCAAAGCTCGTGCTTTTATCTTTGAACCATGAACCTGCCCAATGAATGTTTAATTTAAACTCCTGGACTCTACTACCTACAAGGCTTTGTTGTAACTAATCCCTTTCTCCTTTAAGGGTGACTTACCTAAATAATTTGAGATTATCTGCAAGTTGAGGGATATCAGTAATGTCCTCCTAAAGAAAAACAGATAACATTTCATAAGCAGTGATTAGACAGGCAGTGCTGACACTCTGTACCTGTACGGTCCAATACTGTAGGCATTTGCCACTTGTAGCTATTTAAATTTGAATTACTATTACATATAATAAAGAAAAACTCAGCTCCTCAGTCACACCAGCCTCATATCCTGGGGCAGGGTGGGTGGAGGGAAGGCTGGGAGTGGGATGAAGCACATACAGGGGCTTCTGTGGTGGCTGGCAAAGTTTTGCTTCTTGATTTGGGTGGTGACTTGGGTGATAACTGAACACTAATTTGTTAAACTGTACATTTTTTTCACTTTTCTCTATTTGTCATATAGCACACAAATCAGAAAAAGATTAAAAATTTGACCAAGCACTCCCTGTACCTAACATTCAAGTCAAACGCCTGAGTTTAAAACAAGTACTTTTATGTACAAACAAAATTATTTTATAACTTGTACATCAGAGTGAGTAACTCCAGGCATATCTAGTTCACTGATTAAATTCTCAAAAGGAACCGGGTTCAAAGTTCATTCTACAGGGTAGGTTGGTGCTTATTTTCAAACTGAAAAGTCTATTGTTTGACATCAGAAAGCCTTGACATAAAAATATTGAGGGAGGGAGGAGGGATATTTTTATCTGTTCTAAGAAGGAACACTGTCCTGCTGTATGTATTTAGCTATGGAAGTAAACGAAAGGAAACTAATCTCATGGGAGCTGTGTCGCCTATAAATGTGAGAAAGGGCTCTGAATCTCTAAAGAATCATGGTATTTAGTTTGAGGTATTTGCTTTTGTATGATACCAATTTCCTATTTTAAGGAATTTAATCATAATAGAACACATATTAAATACATAAGGATATGGTGACTCATTTTTATCTATTACTTTTTAAAAATCCAATTACAATGGATCCACCTTTCTGATTCAATGTGATTAAACTAATAATCACTCCCACGATTGAAGAGGTTAAACAAAAGAGTGGCACCCAACAAATGAATCAAACAGGAAGGGCATTCCAATTATAAAGCTAACATTTAGCCGCATTTCACGGGTAAAGGGCAGAAACGATAAACTCTTTGTTTTACTCTGTGTGTGGGTGTGGGTGTGTGTGCGCGCGCGCACGCGTGTGTTTACTTATTTCCTGAAGTCAAAAGGGTTTAGGAACTTTTTATAATGTTCTAAAAAAAGGCCCTCAGTTCTGTCAACCTTGCCCGGTGGAAATGTATATATAGGTAAATACATAATAAGGCTTTGTTTTCTGTAAAGCATTTTCTCTATTCTCACAACTAGACTTCAGGAACCAATTCCATATGCCATGTTAGTGAAACGGAGTCCTCAGCAGTCTTTCATACCATGCCAACTCCTCCAGAAAAAAAAAACCTGATACAAAAGTATTATCATTAGCAGTAACGAAAATATATTACAGTCCCTTACAGAGCTGACCTGAGAAAAGCTAGTCAGTTCTTCCTAGGTTTAAACTTGTCAGATGATGGGTATGTTTTCTGTTTTCAAAATCAGACAAAATAGTTTCTTATTTCTAATTTTAAGAAAGCTCATCCACATTTGTCAATAAGTCAGAACAAAACCACAATTCTAAGTAATCAGAAAAGTTCATACCAACGTGTTGTCTGCTTTTGCACCTTCTAGGGTCACTTCCAAATTAGAAAGTGCTGCTTCTACTTCATCAACCTCAGACTCATTTGTAAAATCCTGTATTTCGGCTGATGATGATAGTTTGCTAATGTGATACTGTAAAGAAATAGAGGTTTTAGAAATGTTATAAGCGTAAATGAATCCAGTAGCCAGCTCTTCTTTTTTTCAGAGGCAACCCCCCTTGTAATACCAAACATCTAGAAGGAAAATGAATCCAATAGCCAGCTCTTCTTTTTTTCAGAGGCACCCCCCCTTGTAATACCAAACATCTAGAAGGAAATCTTCCCTCCTATGTAGGAAAATGACATTTTATGGGTAGTCATGTTCAAACTCGCTTCCAGTCATGTTCAAACTCGCTTCTTCTCCATCAGTGGTTGAGCTTGTAGGGGGAAAGAGATAAGAACGGTAAGATTAATTCTTTACATAAGATGTACACGTGTGTAAGGTTATGAGGAGCATTTTAAATTTTAATTTACTCCCCTCATTTCCAGCACTTTCTTTAAAGGAAAAAACTACATAAGATGTACACGTGTGTAAGGTTATGAGGAGCATTTTAAATTTTAATTTACTCCCCTCATTTTTCCTTTAAAGCACTTTCTTTAAAGGAAAAAATGGTAGGAAGAAAATGAAACTTGAAGCAGAACAAACTTGCTTTGTCTCCCTCCAGAGAAAAGGTACCTGCAGTGCTGCAAAGATCAACATTTCCTCCTCTGTGCAGTCAATTTCTTCTAGGACAATGGCCCACCTGGCTTGTTCATAGAGTTGGTTTATTCGGACAGCATCGTACTACAGAAAGAAACAGGTGTGCATGTGTGTGTGTAATTTATATTTCACAATACAAAAATTCCAGAATGACTATGGCCATTCCTTGTTAATCAGAAGCAATAAACTCCAGTTCAGGTAACTGAAAGAAATACCCTTCTACCTTTCTACTGCCCCAGCATTTTTTATTCCTGAATTTAGAACTTCCTCAAAATATTTTCCAGAGTCTCTTCAAGGGTCCACACTGACCCATCTTAGATTCCATTATTTTGCCTCTCTTTTATCACACTTTTTCTATTGGTAGGAAAAACAGGTAGTAAAAATGGTTTATGTAATAAGTAATATAAAGGAAAGGGATCCCCAAGCTGATCTGTAAACTCAATGCAATCCCGATGAGAATGTGATAGAGATTCTTAAATGCAACTCTATACAAGCCGATGTCTCTACACGAGAGACAATGTTCAAATATCGTCAAAAACAAAGTTGGGAGAAACTTGTCCACCCCAAAATAGAAACATATCATAAAGCTGCAGTAACTAAAATGGTGTGGCATTGGTATAGTGATAGACAAAATGTCCATAACACCGCCTCTGGAAACAGACCTACTCATGTATATAGATTCAATATAAAATAAAAATGGTACTTTCTATCAGTAGGGGAAGAAAGAATTCAATACTATAAATAGTGTTAAAAATGTATAGCCATTTAGAGAACAAAAATCTCAAATCAAAAGACAATTTTACATCATTCAAAAAATATAAATTGCAGATAGATCAAAGGATCTCAATATCCAAAACCACAATGAGATACCACTTCATACCCACTACGATGGCTCTAATTTAAAAGACAGATAATAACAAACGTTGGTGAGGATGTGAAAAATTGGAACCCTTGTTCATTGTTGGTGGGAATGTAAAATGGTGCAGCCTCAGTGGGAAACAATTGGGCAGTTCCTCAAAAAGTTAAACATAGAATATGATCCAGCAATTCCACTTGTAAGTACATACTGAAAAAATTAAAAAGAGGGATGCAAACAGATACTGTACACCAGTGTTCATAGCACCATCATTCACAATAGCTAAAAGGTAGAAACAACCTAAATGCTCATCAACGGATGAATCAGTAAACAAACAAACAAACAAAATACACACACACACACACACACACATACAATGGAATATTATTCAGCCATAAAAGGAAGGAAATTCTGATATGTGCTATAACATATATGAACCTTGAAGACACCATGATAAGTGAAATAAGCCAGACACAAAAAGACAAATATTGTCTGATTCCACTTATATGAGGTACCTAGAAAAGGCAAATTCACAGAGACAGAAAGTAGAATAGTGGTTACCAGTGGCTGGGGGGAGGGGTTAAATGAGGAATTATTGTTTAATGGGTACAGAGTTTCTGTACAGGATGATGAAAAAGTTCTGGAAATAAATAGCAGTGACAGTTGCAGAATATGTGAATGTACTTAATGCCACTGAATTGTGAATCTAAAAATGGAAAAAAATGGCAAATGTTATGTTGTGCATATCTTACTACAATAAAACAAATCAAATTTGTACATGAATGTTCATAGCCGCATTATTCATAATACCCAAAAAGTAGAAACAATCTAAATGTCCATCAACAGATGAATGGATAAATAAAATGTGGTATATACATATAATGGGATATTATTTGGCAATAAAATGAAATACTGATATGCGCTACAATATGGATGAACCTTGAAAGTATTATGCTAAGTGAAAGAAGCTAGTCACAAAGTACTACATATTGCATAACTCCATTTATATGAAATGTCTAGGATAGGCAAATCCACAGAGACAGGAAGTAGACTGATGGTTTCCTAGGGTTGGGAGGGTAGGGGGGAAATGAGGAGCAACTCTTTACGGAAAATGAGTTTCTTGTTAAGATGATGAAAATGTTCTGAAATTAGATAGGGGCATAGTTTGCACGACTCTATGAATATACTAAAAACCACTCACTTGTACATGTTATATAAGTAAAATGTATGGTATATAAATTATACCTCAAAAAACTGTTATAAAAAAATCTAAACATAACAACCAAAACTACTAGCCAGAAACATGAGAGAACACTTTTTGTTATCTTTGAAAGTGGAAAGCTTTTCTAAGCAAGAGAGGAAGCCTAAAAATTATGATGTATATGACTGACTTGATAATCGAAAATTAAACATTTTTAATGGTGAAAAATACCCTATTGAAGATTATACTTTTATAAGACTGGATGCAGACTGGAAAATAATATTTGGAATAAATGTAAAAGATAATATCAATTATATACAAAGTGCTCCTATAAATCAGTATGAAAAATATAATTTAAAAAAAATGGGGCAAATATATAAATAAGCAACTCACAGAAGAAACCAAAATGGGCATGTAAACATTGGAAAGGATGCTCAGCTGCACTAATAAACAGAAGATTCAAATTAAAAAAAGAGATGACAAGAGTTTCTGTTTTCCTATTAGATTTACCCACATGGTTTAAGGATTGATAATGACTGGCATTGGCGAGGATGTGATACAATCGGCACTTTCACGTACGAGGTCAGTAGGAAGGCAAATTTGGCAGTATCTTTTAACGCCCTTTTGCCTTTTGATGAGCATGTCTATGGTTACTATTCTAAAGAATGCAAGCACTCATCAAAGATACTGATATAAGAACGTGCACCACATTTTTTGAAAGAGCGAAAATTGCAAGCATCCCAGGGTCCTGATAAATTATAGTTTAGCCTTTCCTTTGATTACTTTGTAGTCGTAAAAAAAAAAGTCAGACATATACACACTGACATGAAAAGATGGCCAGGATATGTTATGAAGTAAAAAGGAGCAAGCTACAGAGCAAACACATGATCTCGTTTGTGTAGGGGAAAAAGACCTTGAAAATCTGTTCAAAAATTTTATAACTGTGAAAAAATCTGCAAGTATTGTTAATCATCAAGCTGTTAAATGTGGCTGCCTCTTGGGGAAAAAAGTCATGGTAAAGAACTATTTTCCAGTTTTACTCTATGTAATTTCTTTTTCTTTAATTTATTAAAAAATTGTGGTAAAATACATATAAAATTTACCTTGTTAACCATTTTTTAAGTGCACACACAGTTCAGTGGCATTCTACAGAACTCTTTTCATCTTGCAAAACTGAAACTCTATATCTGTTAAACAATAACTCCTATGTTTGGTTTTCTTTCTTTCCTTTTTTTTTTTATTTGACGCGGAGTTTACATTTTACTATATCCTTTAAAAAAAATGTTGAAGGAAACATGGAGGAGGAATAGAAAGATACAGTTCCTAAATGGACTTATTACAGGTTGATTAGCATTAGTATATTTTTCTTTTTGCAGGAACCTTATGTATATTAAAAAAGGTGATAGGGAATGTAAAAATAGGAAGTAAGCCCAAACCAGCAAATAGCATTGCTATTAGGTAAGTGGGCAACGGGATCTGTTGCACTGGCGTGCTCCTTCTCAGCATTTCTACAATGCAAACCTAAGTGTGTAGCATTCAGGAGGCTAGAATAATAAGAATCTTAAGGGAATCTGTCTTTGCTTTGTGAACTTTGCCAGGTGTCATGGAACACCTCAGGAGTTAACCCCAGAATCCTTCCAAAACAAATCAAAACACAACAATGAGAACATTCACAGCAGCATTATTCATAACAGCTCCACCCTGGAAACAAGCCAATGTCCCTCAAGTCCAAATGGATGAATGAAACATGGTCCATCCACACAATGGGGCACCACTCAGCAGTACAAAGAAATGCACTACTGATAACACACAACAACACAGATGAACCTCATAAACATTATGCTGAGTTAAAGAACCCAGACAAAAGATTATATACTGTATGACTCCATTTGTATGAAATTTCTAGAAAAGACAAAAGTGGAGACAGAAAGCAGGCCAGTGGTGGGGTGGGGCTTTGGCTGGGGCAGGGACTGACCACAAATGGGTAAAAGAAAAATTTTTTGGGTGATGCAAGTGTTTTAAAACTGGATTGTGGTGATGGTTGCACAACTATATAAATTTACTACAAATCATTATATTGTACGTCTACAATGGCTGAATTTATCATGTAAATTATACTGAAATCAAAAGACGTGACAACTAAGAAACTACACACGATGAATGCCAATAAACCAGCAATTCCCCCAATAAAACCAAGCCCTGCTTTAATTCACAGTTGAAAGACAAAATCTAAATTGTATGTGCAGCTGCTGAAATTCATATTGCGCTGTCTAGTCTGCCTGTCCCTCCATCCATTCACCTACCTATCCACCTGTCCATCCATCATCCATCCACCCACCCGTGTGTCTCTCTCTCTCTCTCTCTATCTGCAATCAGACACAGCGCTATAATCCTAATGCCACAGGAGTTTTAGTAAGAATAAGTTCAGTCACCAAATAAGGCTTTTCTCTCAAACACAGTCACTAGCGATTTAAAAATAAAAGCTTCCATGCCTGAACATACTTAGCCCTGCCTACCCCCAGTCAAACAGAACAATAATTTGAAAGAATATTGGTTAAACGAAAGTGACCTTCATTTACACATGGACGTTAGGAGAAGGACCAGATCTAGAACAAGCTGTCATAACCACATTCAGGATAAGCCCAGGCGCATTCTGAGGGACACTGGATTTCTCTGCGGCATCCTGCAGAACTCTGGATTCCCCCTTCGGAGGCTTGTTTGCATTCCTACTGAGGCTCTGGGACATCATAAGGTCCTGGGTCTTCCACAGGTCAGTCATTAACAGGCATCCTAATAGGTCTTCTCTCTGAGAACTCTTCAGTGGTTTTGGGGACTTAGTAGCAAGCGTTTGGTGAAGACTGGCTACTCCTGCCCGCTCTGTGGCCCTAGATTTCCTTTGTCTTCTGGCTAATTGAAAACAGAAACTCCAAGCTAGAAGCACATGGCTCTGCCACCTCCGGTCCTTGAATTCATGTTTCTATCTAGTCAATTCAGTCAACCCCTCCACCTGTTTCACCAACCAACAATGCAAACAAACAATAAGACCTACCACCCACAGTTTTCAGGCTCTCAATGGGCTACTATTTAGATCCCTTAAGACTCCCTATTAGCCGGATAGCAGTTTTCACCTTCTCTTACTAATATACCTTTTCTCTACTGAACATTTAAAAAATACTATGAACTATTGGAGTTATAAATTTTTCAATTTACATGTGAATGCATTTAAATGAGGCAAAAGAGTATATAATGAAGGAATTTATTTTGAATGAATTCTAAAGGGACAAAAGGTTAACATCCTACAATAAAAAGTCTTCCTCCCTTCTTTGTTTTCCACAAACAGTAGTTTCCCATGGACTCTTCTGTACCTTGCTCTTTTTTATTCAATAATATATACCTTGACTATGTTCCACATCTAAAGAAAACTGATTCATTCTTCTTAACAACACCACAATACAGATGTACCATAACGGATTTAACTTGTTCCCCATTGATGGATGTTTGGGTGGTTTCCAATATTTTCCTAAAATAAATAGTGTAGTCATAACTGTTCTTGTGCATGGACATATCAATTCACATATGTGAGTGTAACTGTGGTATAAATAATGAGGAGTGGATTTGCTGGGTCACAGCTGCGTAGAGTTGTAATTTTGATCGATATCACTAAAGTGCCTTCCATAGAGGCCAGATGAATTTGTATTTTGACCTACTAGCAGTGCATGAGGGAGCCTGTTTTCCCATACTCTTGCTAAGATAGTATCTGAAACTTTTTGGTATATGCCAACCTAAGGCTAAGAGCCATAGTAGTTTTCTTTCTATTAACTATGTGTTCATATCCTTTTGCCAGGCATAAAATTTTCATTTTGAAAAAAGATTTTGGTTACAATAGTTCAATATAACTGTTTCATTTTGTAATTCTATGTATTTTATTTAATTAATTTGAAAACCTTATTCTAACATCCAGCAGTTTTGGGTTTTCAGCTGCTAGCTTAGTTCTTGGTATACAGCAGTTGCTCAATAAATAAATGAATAAATAAGCAGGGGCACGAGTTTGAATAGGTAAGATTGGGCCAAATTACTTACTTAGCAATTAGAAAATGCATAAGTATGTTTTACTCACATATTATGAGAAAAAAATTAAAGGCCGTTTATTAGAATATATAGCATACAACAAGATAGCTTAAATTGACTAGGAATTAAGCAAAGAAAGAGTAAAGCTGAGTCAGGAATGAGGCTTAAAAATGAAATTCCAGAAAATGTATAAATTCGGTTCTAGCAGACAATGCAAAGAAGGAAATCCAGACAGATATATAATTCACAGTGCCCTTAAAAAATAAAAACAATTATTTAGAAGAAGCAGTACAGTAACTTCTCCCGAATGTTTTACCAAAGAGCCAAAATTTGCTCTTTTGCTGTGATTCACTGGAAGTCATGCGTATCAGACACAAGTTAGGTCCACGTGCATTAAGCTGGATTTAAATCAAAGACTGAGCAGGATCTCCAAAGGAATGGCAAGGAATAAGGCTTATTTTGAAGAAGATGCCCATTAGGAAATCAATGAGAGCTGAGATGGGCCTTTGAAGACCAGACTTAAAATCAGGACCAAGAAGAAGACAGTGCCACAAGAGGCAGTAACACTGCTGTGGGTGAGAAAAGGGTCTGCACAGAAGAGGCGGCCTGAAGCAAGCCCTTCAAACAAGTGCCAGGCAGTAAAGGGAAGAGCAACAAGCAGCACAAAACTAGATGGGAACAATACGACGAACTCACCCAGTGCACTTAGAGAACCGGTGACCCAGTTTATATTTTCTACATTTGGCCATTTAACTGCTGACTCCTAACTCTAGAAAAGAGCGAATGAGGGCAAAGAAGAGGCCGAAGATCAGGGGACGTATTTCACCACTCGATTGTCCCAGTAAACTTCCGGTGGGAGGTGTGCACTTAGAATGGGAGTTGGTGACCAGCTGGGTCTTTATTTATATAAATGATTCCTCTTTCTTATCACCAAAGACTTTCAGCACTGCGGGGTGGGGAGTGGTGGGTGGAGTCTAGTTTGCGCCATCATGGGGTCCTGGCTTGTTCTGAGAACCTGCTCTTAACCTGGGTCCTGACATCACCTTCTTTCCTAAGCACTACTGACTCTGGTCCCATGAGCCGCTCTCTGCTTGTCCCTTGGTTCTCGGGAACCGAGAGGGGGAGCACGTGCCACCCTGGGCGTGAAGACTCCTAGAGATTCTCGCTCCCTCGGGCTGCTGACTATGCTCGCTAGAACCCAAAAGATGAAAATCCAGAGACCCATATGCAGAGCTAAACAGAAAATTACACATAATTAATCCTAATTTTGATGACTAAATGATTCAATACTAAACTTCTATGCATTCACATTTTAAAAAAGAGAATAGACAATGGCCAAGACATGGAAGCAACTGAAATGTCCTATGATAGATGACTGGAAAAAGAAGCTGTAGTACATATATACAATGGAATATTACTCAGCCATAAGAAGACATGAAATACTGCCATTTGTGACAACATGGATGGACCTCGAGATAATTAAGCTAAGCAAAATAAGCCAGACAGTAGAAGCTGAAAGATTGCATGATACCACTTACATGTGGGATATAAACCTAAAAGCAGCAAATGAACAGGATGAACACACAAGAGACTCATGAACATGGACTATAGACTAGTGGTTACCAGAGAGGATGGGGACGCATGGACATGGACTACAGGCTAGTGGTTAGTAGGGGATGGGAGAGGAGGGGGGAGGTAGACGGTGTAAAGGGGTTCAAATATAGGAGAGTGGAGGGGGAGGGTGAAGGGGATAAAGGGAATCAAATACACAGTAGCTGAAGAAAATTGGACTTTGGGTAGTAAACACACAATAGAATATACAGATGTCAAATGATAATGTATACCTGAAAATTATACAATTGTATTAACCAATGTTACCCCAATAAACTTTAAAAATAAAAATAAAAATAAATTTTAAAAAATTAAAAAAAGAGAATAGAGAAAAAGTATCTTACTTTGGGATTCAAATCAAAGAAAGTGTAGTATTTAAATCGTAACAGCAACTGCTCATCCTCCTGAATGCCTTGTTCCATAAGAGAACGTGAGGAGTCTAACCAACTAGAAAACAATAGGACGAGCATTACAAGCCGGTTAATTTTATACGTATATGTTATAGTATTATATATGTTTATATGTTATATATATGCTATATATGTGTTTGTTATATATACCATACACGTTATATATAACATGTTTATATTATATACGTACATACACATATCTTCTTGAACGAAGTCTGTGTAAGTAATATGAACAAAAACAAGTAAAGCAGAGGACCTGATGATAGCTTATACCTGCATTTTATCTTACATCTTTCCCAATTTGGACCAGGGACGAATACTCCTATGAGAATCTAATGCCTGATTATCTGAGATAGAGCTGAGGTGGTGATGCTAGCGCTGGGGGGCGGCTGCAAATACAGATGAAGCCTCACCCACGCACCTGGACCGCTCACCTGCCACTCACCTCCTGCTGTGTGGCCCAGTTCCTAACAGGCCCTTGCTTTAAAGTAGCCTAGTGAAGGAGCCAGGGCGGTTTTTATTTTCTCAGTTTTATAGATGATGAAACTGAGTCTTAGTGACATTAAGTGGTATGTTTAAGGTCATGTGCCTCATGGTAGAGCCAGAATAAGAATCTGCACTTGCTGATGGCCTGCACAGCCTCTCCTCTACACCGGGGGATCTGACCCAAAGCTGACTCTTATTGTCTAGACCTTTCTGTAATAACCCATGAAGACCAACTCACTTATAAATTGCTCTACATCCCATAAAATACACTTTGCATACCTGTAGGGGTAAAAATTTGTATTCATTTATGGAAACCACTGAGTTACCCAAACACATAAATGTTGTCACACTTTCAATGTACTAAAATGACCAAAAGCTGCATTTTTCCCTTTTGTTGCTAAAATCAGTACTGACTTTTACTAAAGGTATACAATCTCCAGGCATGCTAATTCAGAGATTTAAAAAACCCCTCCCCCATCTCTGCAGCATCTCTCTTACTACATCCACATCAGTTCACAGAGAAGCAAAATGGAGGCACATCCTTACCCTGCGTTGAGCTTGGCTTTATCGACCAGAGACCGAGACTGGTACATATCAGCCAATGCCTCTGGTGACTGCGGGGGTTGGCTGAAGGCGAGGATGTTGCAGTTTTGTTCAGTCAAGGGGCTGTCACTGAACCAAGTCATGGTGGATGACGCTGGAGTTCCATTCACAGGATCATATGTTGGAGTCATGGTTTTACTGTATAACCCAGGACTAACTGCAACACAAAAGGGAGCACGCGTTATGACAGGAGATTCAGGGGGTAGGAATCTTTGGAAAAAGAAGTACTAACTCTGCTGATACTAAAATGAGTTTTGAATTTAAATGTCTGTAACCTTTAAAATAATCAGATCAGTGATGACTACTGGGGAGAGAAGTTATACACAAGTAAAGCTCTTGCCTGAATATTGAGCTCCTGTAAGTTCGGGAATTCATAAGCTGTAAAATCTTCCCCAATCAATCTAGACAAATGCTGGAGACTATCTCCTTCTTAATAATTCAAAACTTTTCTATGTTAACAGTGAATTTGGGCAGTATTAGAAAACTGGAGATCGTATGTACATAGCACATTTTGGGCAAATCCTTTAACGATGGCAGTACTTGCCAATATTAAGAACCCAGCTAATTGATGGTTTATAAATCATCTGGCTTTAATTTGCATAAGGAAAGTGCAAATAATCCCTTTTATTCTTTGCATTGGAATATACTATGCAAGAAAACCCTCATATGTTGCAAACAAGCTAGAGATTTATTTATTTTTACATAAAAAGAAAAAGGCGATGCCTTTCTAGAATTTTTACCTGTTCTCGTTACACGACCAATGAAAAACTTAAACTGAATTCAGAAAAGAGTCACATAAAGATAGAATCAGAAAAACAGAAGTATATCTGAATGATCTAAATAATCTCTTTTCCCCCTCAACTTCATGGTCAGTTCTACTGTTTTTAATTCATCAGCAACATAATACATACAATTAAAATAATGAGCTATAAAACATATCTAAATTGTCAGTTAGTTCTAAAATCAATTGGACATCCATTTCTCGTCACAGCAATCCTGAAATTTTAGTTCTCCTTCTTTGTTTTGGGGGAGAGAGAAGAAAGGAGGGAAGAAGAAGGCAGAGAGGAGAGGAGCGTCCTCAGGATTTAAGAATTTAGGAATTTTTTGGGTTTAAGAATAAATTAAAACAAAATGCCTGTCACGAACCTTACCTGGTGGGCCTGAAATTGTTGGAGAACTCTCCAAGTTTAAAATATCTTCAATTATGGGCTCCTTATTATTTTTGTCTTTTTTTTTCTTCTTTTTAAAGTAGTCACCAGGAGGCTTTAACAAGGAAAGTTCTTCTGATCTTCTAATATCTAATAAATAAACGTAAAAATAAAGAAGAAAATCAAAAAGTAAAAAGAAAATTCCTTCTAAGACTCAGAGTCACATTGGGCATTTGAAACTGTTTCTCAGGAAATTCCTGAGAAGCAAATGGAGCTATGCATTCCTTTTTGAAGAAACAGAAGATGAACAGAGACCTCCCCTCCCCCACACCCAAATGGGAGTATGTATGGGTCAAAGAGTGGAGAGAGGTTCAATCTAGTCAAGAAACTAGTTTCTAGTTTTTTAACTTATTGTGAAAATATTTCAAACATATCTAAAGCAAAGGGAATAGTATAATGCCCCCTTCGTGGGCTCATCACCCACCTCGATTGCTACCAGCATTTCGCTCTTCTTGTGTCATCTATTTACTACCAATTTTTCCCTCCCTCCTTTCTTTCATCCCTTTCTTTCTCCCTCCCTATCTCTCCTTTCCTTGTTTAGCTTTTTAAACAACCAAGGACTCCACCGTTTTTTCTTTATGGACAACAGACCCCGAGAGCCTTTTTCTTACACAACATCCGGTAGCTAATTTCCTCCTTGTAGGAGACATTGTTGGCATCCTGCCCATCTTTTCTTGGTCCTCACCATTTCAGTGCACTCTGACCTGATTTCCAACAGCAGCTAGGACATGCATCTCTCTGCCCCAGGGCTTGCTCTGGATGCCAGAATCTGCACTGCTCAGATACAGATACAACAGGCCACACAAGTTCAGAGAATTAACGCTCCCCAACAGCAGCCCTCAGTGACTAAGGAGAGGATATATTAACACCCCAGTTCCTTCATCTTCAGGGTGGCAGAGCTCTGAGGTATGTCTACGCTGTCCCCCTGAGGTCCCCAGCTGTCTGCAGGGCTAT